TATTAGTGCTCTTATTAATTTAGCAAAATCGTAGCTTTAATAAATCGGATATCTTTTCTTGTAATACAGTAATAGCAAAGATAAATAGAAATCTCGATTATTTTAATAATAATAATTTGGCACAGTAATGCATGTTCGCGTGTTAAATTATAATATTCAAACTCAGTTCACGAAACATCATGCTCTGCTATATGCTCTATATTTACTGTATATATTGTATATATAAGGTATATATATCAATATATAATATGTAATATTATGCGTCACTGAATGTACTTTAAATTCTCAATCGATAAGGAAAAAAAAATAGCATTCTATATAAGGAAAATTAAAATATGTAAATTTCACCCGTTTTGAGTCACATTATACCATGCGATTCAAATGATACATATTTCGTTTCGAAATTTCTGTTTATACTAGGGATCTGTCTGGCACCAGTGCCGCCTATGCCCATGGGCATGAAAGTTCCATAAAGTTCCAGACACCTTTGGGCCAGATACCTTGTGTTCTAGTGTCTAGTAATTTTGACCAGGCCTTTGGAACTTTGTACCCGTATCTATAAAAGTGCCAAACAACTTTATGTCTGATAGTTTGCATCTGCGTCCATGCTCATGCTTGTGATCTTTGTTAGGACAGACTTGCAGATCCCTAGTTTATACACATAGAATACAGTGTATAACTGATTTAATGACCAGGGTATTGTTACGGGCACTTCAATAATTTATACACTATAGACTTTTTATGATAAGGCAACTTACTAGAATCGTGACGTTAGTGATTTTGGTAACAATTAAATTAGGAAATTTGGGTTTAAGTGTTTTGCCAGGGAGGTTATTAGAATCGTTTTATTAATTTTAATTTTGTGATAACCCAATGGGTGAAGTTACAAGAGAAATTTCATGTCTTTATAACTTTTACATCATTATAAAGCCTCAAGAGGCTTTACAATTTTTAAGAAATGAATTCAATACTCCGTGTTTCTTTTACGAATGTTATATTTTCTATTCAAACACTAGAATATTCTATTAATATTCTACTAAGCCTTTATCAATAACAACAAATACTCTGTAATGTCTTCTCGAA